CTGGGGCAGTTGTGTGTGGTTTGAAAAAGTTCAGGTCCAGAAACCTTCTTGATTTGTGTTTGAAATTTCTTGTGGTTATTTTCACTCTGGACTCGACACAAGCGGCGAAACTGGTTCAGTCGAGTCTGATGCTGTTTCCACAGAGAAACACAGAGTGTGAGCGGCGCAGACGTCCTGACGAGCGTTTAGAGCCTCAAGGTTCATGTTTTTACTCAAGGTTCATGTTTTTATTGTAGATAACACGAGTTAAAGTTACACCTGTAATAATTAAACTGTCAGATCTTTGTAAACGTCAAAGTGTCAAAAGGAGAGTCGAGTCTTTTATTCACTCTCTGTGTTTAAAGAAGTGAAACTAGAAGAGTTTGATCTGATCTTGACTCTTATCTGGTCTTATTTACTCAGTTGCCTCTGAGAAGTGTGAGAGTGTGAGAGTGTGAGAGTGTGGAAGTGTGAGAGTGTGAGAGTGTGAGAGTGTGAGAGTGTGAGAGTGTGAGAGTGTGAGAGTGTGAGAGTGTGAGAGTGTGAGAGTGTGAGAGTGTGAGAGTGTGAGAAGTGTGAGAGTGTGAGAGTGTGTGTGAGAGTGTGAGAGTGTGAGAGTGTGAGAGTGTGTGTGAGAGTGTGAGTGTGAGTGTGAGAGTGTGAGAGTGTGAGAGTGTGAGAGTGTGGAAGAGTGTGAGAGTGTGAGAGTGTGAAGTGTGAGTGTGAGAGTGTGAGAGTGTGAGAGTGTGAGAGTGTGAGTGTGTGTGAGAGTGAGTGTGAGAGTGTGAGTGTGAGAGTGTGAGAGTGTGAGAGTGTGAGAGTGTGAGAGTGTGAAGTGTGAGAGTGTGAGAGTGTGAGAGTGTGAGAGTGTGAGAGTGTGAGAGTGTGAGTGTGAGAGTGTGAGAGTGTGAGAAGTGTGAGAGTGTGAGTGTGAGAGTGTGAGAGTGTGAGAGTGTGAGAGTGTGAGTGTGAGAGAGTGTGAGAGTGTGAGAGTGTGAGAGTGTGAGAGTGTGAGAGTGTGGAGAGTGTGAGAGTGTGTGTGAGAGTGTGAGAGTGTGAGAGTGTGGAGAGTGTGAGAAGTGTGAGAGTGTGAGAAGTGTGAGAGTGTGGAGAGTGTGAGAGTGTGGAGAGTGTGAGAGTGTGGAAGTGTGAGAGTGTGGAAGTGTGAGAGTGTGAGAGTGTGGAAGTGTGAGAGTGTGGAAGTGTGAGAGTGTGAGAGTGTGGAAGTGTGAGAGTGTGGAGTGTGAGAAGTGTGAGAAGTGTGGAGTGTGAGTGTGAAGTGTGAGAGTGTGAGAGTGTGAGAGTGTGAGAGTGTGAGAGTGTGGAAGTGTGAGAGTGTGAGAGTGTGAGAGTGTGGAGAGTGTGGAAGTGTGAGAGTGTGGAAGTGTGAGAGTGTGAGAGTGTGAGAGTGTGGAAGTGTGAGAGTGTGGAAGTGTGAAGTGTGAGAGTGTGGAGTGTGAGTGTGAGTGTGGAGAGTGTGAGAGTGTGAGAGTGTGAGAGAGTGTGAGAGTGTGGAGTGTGGAAGTGTGAGAGTGTGTGAGAGTGTGGAAGTGTGAGAGTGTGGAAGTGTGGAGAGTGTGAGAGTGTGGGAGTGTGAGAGAGTGTGAGAGTGTGGAAGAGTGTGAGAGTGTGAGAGTGTGGAGAGTGTGAGAGTGTGAGAGTGTGAGAGTGTGGAGTGTGGGAGTGTGAGTGTGAGAGTGTGGAGAGTGTGAGGTGTGTGAGAGTGTGAGAGTGTGGAAGTGTGAAGTGTGAGTGTGAGTGTGAAGTGTGAGAGTGTGAGAGTGTGGAGTGTGGAGAGTGTGAGAGTGTGGAGAGTGTGAGAGTGTGAGAGTGTGGGAGTGTGAGAGTGTGAGTGTGAGAGTGTGGAAGTGTGGAAGTGTGGGAGTGTGGGAGTGTGAGTGTAGTGTGAGTGTGGAGTGTGAGTGTGAGAGTGTGAGAGTGTGAGAGTGTGAGAGTGTGGAAGTGTGGAGTGTGAGAGTGTGAGAGTGTGGGAGTGTGAGAGTGTGAGAGTGTGGAAGTGTGAGAGTGTGGAAGTGTGAGAGTGTGGAGTGTGAGAGTGTGAGAGTGTGAGAGTGTGAGAGTGTGGAAGTGTGGAAGTGTGGAGTGTGGAGTGTGAGAGTGTGAGAGTGTGGAAGTGTGAGTGTGGAGTGTGAGAGTGTGGGAGTGTGAGAGTGTGAAGTGTGAGAAGTGTGAGAGTGTGAGTGTGAGAGTGTGAGAGTGTGAGAGTGTGAGTGTGTGAGAGTGTGAAGTGTGGAGTGTGAGTGTGAGAGTGTGAGAGTGTGAGAGTGTGAGAGTGTGAGAGTGTGAGAGTGTGAGAGTGTGAGAGTGTGAGAGTGTGAGAGTGTGGAAGTGTGAGAGTGTGGAAGTGTGAGTGAGAGTGTGTGTGAGAGTGTGAGAGTGTGAGAGTGTGTGTGAGAGTGTGAGAGTGTGAGAGTGTGTGAGAGTGTGAGAGTGTGAGAGTGTGAGAGTGTGGAAGTGTGAGAGTGTGAGAGTGTGGAAGTGTGAGAGTGTGGAAGTGTGAGTGTGGAGAGTGTGGAGTGTGGAGTGTGAGAGTGTGGAAGTGTGAGAGTGTGAGAGTGTGAGAGTGTGAGAGTGTGAGAGTGTGAGAGTGTGAGAGTGTGAGAGTGTGGAAGTGTGGAAATGTGATCTTTCAGATCTTGACACTCACCGCGGCCTCAGACTCGTCCACCACTTCCAGGATGTTGAAGGGGACGAAACCCGACTGACCGCTGCGGTTCCTCAACTTCCACCACTGTTTATCATCTTCAATCACCTGAAACACCAAACACCAAACACACGACATGAAAGGAACCGCTTCAGTCTGAACAAACATCTGCTCCTCTGTCTCCTCTGTTTGCTCCTCTGTCTGCTCCTCTGTCTGCTCCTCTGTTTGCTCCTCTGTTTGCTCCTCTGTTTGCTCCTCTGTCTCCTCCTCTGTTTGCTCCTCTGTTTGCTCCTCTGTCTCCTCCTCTGTTTGCTCCTCTGTCTGCTCCTCTGTTTGCTCCTCTGTCTCCTCTGTCTGCTCCTCTGTCTCCTCTGTTTGCTCCTCTGTCTGCTCCTCTGTTTGCTCCTCTGTCTCCTCTGTCTGCTCCTCTGTCTCCTCTGTTTGCTCCTCTGTTTGCTCCTCTGTCTGCTCCTCTGTCTCCTCTGTCTGCTCCTCTGTCTCCTCTGTCTGCTCCTCTGTCTCCTCTGTTTGCTCCTCTGTTTGCTCCTCTGTCTCCTCCTCTGTTTGCTCCTCTGTCTGCTCCTCTGTTTCTCTCTGTTTGCTCCTCTGTTTGCTCCTCTGTCTGCTCCTCTGTTTGCTCCTCTGTTTGCTCCTCTGTCTGCTCCTCTGTTTGCTCCTCTGTCTGCTCCTCTGTCTCCTCTGTTTGCTCCTCTGTCTCCTCCTCTGTTTGCTCCTCTGTCTCCTCCTCTGTTTGCTCCTCTGTCTCCTCCTCTGTTTGCTCCTCTGTTTGCTCCTCTGTCTGCTCCTCTGTTTGCTCCTCTGTTTGCTCCTCTGTTTGCTCCTCTGTCTCCTCTGTCTGCTCTCTGTCTGCTCCTCGGTGCGACTCACCTCCAGGACTTCGTCTTTCAGCACTGAGAGTTCGTTGGCGTTTCGAGCCACAAAATGGTATTGGATTTTGGCGTATTTCCGAGCGTGAGATCTGCAGGAGACAGAATGAAATTTATGAAGCTCCACAGAGAAGGTCTCACACACAGAATCTCCAGACGTAATCTGGAAAAGCCCATGTTCCTTTTCCCAAACAGACTTTTTAAAAATACAATCAAATAAATAAATGTTTATAAAGTTTACGAAGCAGATTTGAAATAAAACGCTGAAGACGTCTTTTGGTCGTGACACTGGATGCAGCTGAAGAGATTCCAGCAAAATGTGATTTAATTTAATCTGAAATTGTCTATGACAAAAAAAGAGGAACGGAAAATGCACTTTTGAACCGACAGGGGGCGCTGACTCTAGATTTAACTCCAGATGTTTGACTCACCCGTTTGAAGAACCCGACGAATGTGTCTCATAAAACTGTGAAAAGACAAACAAGGTTTAATCTGAGACTCTGACAGAGACACACAGAGACACTTAGACACACAGACACAGACACACAGAGACACACAGAGACACAGAGACACACAGAGACACAGAGACACAGACACACAGAGACACAGACACAGAGACACACAGACACACAGAGACACACAGAGACACACAGAGACACAGAGACACACAGAGACACAGAGAGACACAGAGACACACAGAGACACACAGAGACACAGAGACACAGAGACACAGAGACACAGAGACACAGAGACACAGAGACACAGAGACACACAGAGACACACAGAGACACACAGAGACACAGAGACACACAGAGACACAGAGAGAGACACACAGAGACACACAGAGACACAGAGACACAGAGACACACAGAGACACAGAGACACAGAGACACACACACAGAGACACAGACAGAGACACAGAGACACAGAGACAGAGACACAGAGACACAGAGACACAGAGACACAGAGACACAGAGACACAGAGACACACAGAGACAGAGACACACAGAGACACAGAGACACAGAGACACAGAGACACACAGAGACACAGAGACACAGAGACACAGAGACACAGAGACACAGAGACACAGAGACACAGAGACACAGAGACACAGAGACACAGAGACACAGAGACACAGAGACACACAGAGACACAGAGACACAGAGACACAGAGACACAGAGACACAGAGACAGAGACACAGAGACACAGAGACACAGAGACACAGAGACACAGAGACACACAGAGACACAGAGACACACAGAGACACACAGAGACACAGAGACACAGAGACACACACACAGAGACACACAGAGACACAGAGAGAGACACAGAGACACAGAGACACACACAGAGACACACACACAGAGACACAGAGACACAGAGACACAGAGACACAGAGACACAGAGACACAGAGAGACACAGAGACACAGAGACACAGAGACACACAGAGACACAGAGACACAGAC